TGTTTTACTCCAACTTTTTTACATTTCAGATTCCTACTTCTTAAAAGTTTAGTTTTAGTTTATTTCAAGCTAGAGTAACTATGGCGACAGGATTATGATAGCAGTATATCTAAAATAGAGCTCCGAATTGGTCATAGGATAATTGCTGGGAACTACAAGACTCAGAGGCTTTTAAGAACATACACCCAAGGCAAAGCGTGAGGGATTAGTTTCATTGTTTTCTTGCGTTTTACTGATAGATGTCTGGACCTCACAGAAAACTGGTTAAACTGGTTAACTCGCATGGGTTAATGAGCTCCTTTCCTTCAGTAAAGTTCGTCTCTATAGGCGTTTTGATTTGTGATTAAAAGTCATCGAATGCTGTGACAACGCGATTTCGATAATATTTGCCAAAAAAGTCGAAAACTTAAACACTGTGTTTCACAACTTGTACAGCTATAAGCATTGTTATTGTTGTACTGTATGCTCGCCAATGTTTCAGGTATGTCGTTTACTTTGCTACCGTTTGGTCACGTTCAAATTTTGTCAACACAATCTGTGTGAGCTCATCGCTTCTGCTATGCCGGTAGTTTACAACAATACATTTGGTAGCAACATTCACATAAAACAACCACATGCTAATGTTGCATGCAACACAGTTCACTTTGTTTACACATTTTCACATCGCTTTGCCCCGAACAAGGTTTGTATTCAGTATGCTCGAAGCGGTCTGTCAGCTGCTTAGCCTTCTAAGCGCTAGTTGAGCAGCTGCTATGTAACCTTTTCACTGATGGCGACTAGCTGATGGGCGGTGAACGCCGTAACCGCAGGAGAGAGCATGGGAGTGACAGTAGACATTTTAAACGATTGTTGTACCCTGCTACTGGACGGTGGCCTTGTTCTCAGAACAGTTGCCTTTCAATTCAGAAATTTAGATTCGAAGACAATATAATAACGATGTATCAGTATACAGATCCAAATAAAGGAAATAATAAATACTTATCTTTATCTCCTTTTTTTGTGATCCGTTACTAAACCTTACCTTGAACCTAATCAAAAATTTGTTATGTACAGTTAATACTTTGCGAAAATATTTCTTACAGGTTAATATCAAAAAGTTTAGATCATATCACAATCAGATGCGATGAGAAAAATTTAATTTGGCGGTAACTAAAGTAAAATAATTTATTTGAATAATAATTTTCATACTTTTCTTACATCCGCCAGTTGCTTGCAATACGATGATTGTTAATAAGCCGCTGCAGCGTCAAAAACGCTAACAGAACAATCGTAGCGTAGCGCGATATCGTGGCTTAATGATTCAGTATTAAGACTCGTTTCAGCCCCATGCTCGGCTGCTGTAATAAATTACAATGCTAAACGTAAATTGATTTGATATAATTTATATAAGGGCCAATTTTTAAACACGGTTCAGACTAGTAACCGATAAAATATAAGAGAAATGGAATTTGTCCCCACAATGCATATTTACATTATATCCTACAATCTTGAAACCGCCTTCAGTGATTGTTTCGCGTTCGATTTATTCTCTCTTAAGTCACAATTAACGTTGTTGTTTTATTCGTACTCGAGTAAGTTCAACGAGTATACAGTGAAAACTGTATTTGAGATGAATTTCTGTCAACGCTTGTGAGTTTTTGAATTAAAATGCAGTGTAATTTTCATTCACACAGCTCATCTCAGCTTAAATTGTTTCTCTTTATCACAAAATTGATATTTATTAATATATTGATTTGTGGTGGTGAGTTATACTGCAATTCCGATATCAAACACGTCAAGAAAGTTTCGCATGAATATCTCTGCACGAATAAAAAGTGAATTTCCAAAACGCATTCCACGATTTTCTGTAAAATTACAACAAAACTTAAAACAAATTTCAAATAAACATTTGTAATTAAGACATAAGTAATCGGAAGTGACCAGAGTCTAATTAGACAATTTCATTATTGATTTAAATCATTTGAAGATATGTAAACCATATCAAGTAGCGGGTTTCAATTACATTTCTCTCAAAATTATAATTATTAATAATTTATGACAATTGTAAATCTATGTGCGAAATTTACCGGTACGCGCTTGTTATCAACATCAAGTAGCCGGTTTCAATCACAATTTTCTCAAAATGATAAATATTTATTATACATGACGATAGTAAATCATTAAATATATATAGTGGAAAGGTATAATAATAGCGACTTGTTAGATCGTTTATCAAGTGTAATTGTCACCATTCTCTTAAAAATGTAAACGATTTTTAACGGGAAGTAAAACTTACAAGTTCGTCTACTTTTAGTGATATGTCTCTCATTGTGTATAATTTTTACTATGCAACTATATTCCGTTATTGTAAGAACTAGCCATTTTCGAATTGATTCGAGAATTACGAATCGAATTGGCAACTTCTATAAATATATTGGAAACATAACTCTCCAGCTTTTAGGGCATTAAGCGCATCTATACCATAAATGTTGTGTCTCCTTGTTGGCGCATATATTCTTTGAGTTCAACCAGGCGGAATTGGCCCCACAAATGGGTGGCAGGTTTCTTGTGTTCTGGTTGTTGAAATATTTAATGTCCTCGAACAGGCGATACCTTCAAGTTAAAATATTTATACCTTCAAAACAAACGTCTGGTCTCTTCAGTTCACACAACTGTGTTCTGTATAAAAGTGAATAATTGTTTGATTGAATTCAAGTTGTTAGTTCCGCCCTTGAAATATGCGCATATACCTATTAATTTACTTCAAACGATTCTCTCGATCTAAAAAAGCCTCTTTTGCATTATCGAAACCTTCTTTGATGGATCTAATGTTGCTATAAAGTATGGCACCCTGACAGATGCCGGAACACTTTTCACAGCAGTTTTGCTCTTATATAAATCGTGAGGAGTAAAATACGCGTGTTTGGCTATTCTTTATGGGCATCGTGAACAACATTTTCCTCGCTCTCGCTTACCTTTTTCAGGTAGAATAGTTCAAGCCTCATTAAGAACTCTGTAAGGGTCATTATTCCAATATCGTAGTCAGGATATTCTAACGGACGTTTTTGTTAAGTTGATTGATTTGTTATCATAGTTCATCCCTCCGAATGATTGTCCATCTGTTATTAATATGGCGGCACTATGTTCCATGCTAGGGTTGCTCTGTTATACCCTCCTTTTGTTGAAGCTTCCATAAAAGATTGGTTCATCGGCAAAAGTTTTAGATTGCAATGATATTTCACACCAGTAGTTATTCCTCATCATCAAGAGTATAGGTCGTTAAATTTCTCTCTCTTTAAAATCTTATATTGTTTCAGATTTAGTCACCTGTTATCACATTCAGATTATGGGTATTTGTAGACCAGTGTTATGGTGCTTGCCAATGCATCTGTGCAGGCTGTTGTAGTTTCGGTGTAGGCAAAGTTACAGTTTTTTTATTTGTTTTTTTTTCCTTTCCTACTCAGTTTATAAGATTAAACAAGACTCTGAACTACAAACGAATGTGATATTTTACAGAAACTTTTACATAACTCTAAGATACTGTTAAGATACTATTAACAAATATGTATATGAGTTTGCATTTATTATTTTCCCCAATCGGATTATCCGCTATTAGTTTCAGTATCAATTTCTGAAACTCTCAAATCAAAGCGACGCCTTATGTTGTAGATGGCACAATAAGAGTATATTATCGCAGTTGCTTATACAGGCTTTTAATGAGGACCTCGTTTTGCTGATAAGCTTCTGACTTTAGAACGCCAAAAGTTCTTTCTATTATGTTCCTAGCTTTGCAATGTTCTTAATGGCTTTCTGCGCTTCCAGTTTCTGCGGCGCGAAGTGGAGTCACAAGGTACGTTTTCACAGAAAACCCAGTATAACCAAAATGGCAATCCACTTATTACTTATTTTACTAATCAGTTTAGAAATTCAGATTTTATTACCTAAAATTCATGAGTTTTCTTCTATATCATTTGCAATTATTTCTTTTAGTGTACTGTTATTCATAGTTATTTCAGTACTACTTTTATGGACATTTCTGTTATTGTGCTACTCCAACTCAAATATTATAGTATTATATTATATATAGGTAAAAGTTACAAACATACATACAAACATGCAGGTGAAGCGAATAACAGCATTTTAAAAAACGGTCATTAATAGTATAAAGGGAGTAAAGTATTTCTTTCCCTCATTTTCAAAATAATTTGCTGAGAAAATTAATAACGATTCGCATAATAAATTTGAAAATATATGTGACAGAACCAGTTAGTTTAAACTGTCGTGAACTTTCAATGAATAAAACAAACAATTTTCTACCTCCCAATGTATGTAAATATATTCTTAATCAATATACGAACGGCTATATGATTAGAGTTTTTTCTTTAGATATTTCTTATCAAATATCTTGACTGGAAATAACGGCTTTTCAGTTAATTAGAAAACAATAAAAACTGTTCTTTATAATGATTGTCAGTTTATGTCAACAGATTTGAGAAATAAATTGAGTTATAACAAGTGTGGAAGGGCTAAGCTCGGGCGTAACCGAATATTTTATACTCTTGCAACTTGCTAGGATCAAAGCCGAAATCGTGAATGGATTGAGTCTTCACACAATTTTATCCATTCTACGTCCGAACAGGCGGACGGACGGGCAGACAGACAGCCACTCGGATTTCAACTCGTCTCGTCACCCTGATCATTTATTTATGTTATATATCCATATCTCGATTAGTTTTAGGTGATACAAACAACAATTGTGAAACTAATGAAAATAGTAAAAGATAAGATTTAAAATAGTTTTTTTCTGGAAACGCACTTGCTCTTAGTTGATCTTCACATGCATGAAAGCATGGCCTATCCCATTTCATTTTACATTGGTAAATACATATTTATAAATGAACATAAAGTTTACTATTTAAATCCCCACAAAGCAAACAGTAGCAACTTAGTATATCCAATCTATAGTTAAGAGAATTGATGTCGAACGCTCTATCGCTCATCAAGTAGCACTCACACTCATAAGATGAGTAAAGCAAGTGCTAAGCGATTAAGAAAGTTTTTCTATAAACTCACAAAGAGGCAAGAAATGTCATGCTTTTGCTAAATTTCAAATGTGAATTTTCTCGTCTATTAAAGCGCAACATTTGGCCAAGAACATTTTAGTTTGGTGAACTGCACAAAACATGTCGGTGTGAGTCGTTCGGGACTAAAAGTGGTTGTAAATAGAAAAATTAAAGAAAAAAAATATTATATTAGCACTAAATAAGGCTTATAAAAATGATTATCAAAAATCCGAACAATATTTTCATACCCGATTATTTGAATGAGGGCTTCTTCGTGACCGCGCTCGAGGAAGGTTTGCGTGAAATCCACCTAACAGTTAATAAAGTAACCTTCGAATGGGGCACTAATCCCGGTGATAATTACTGCTCACGCATATATCGCGTTTCAGTGGTCTATGAGCGTCAAGTTGACGATGATGAGCCGCCGGTACAAGAGCAACGGTCGTTAATCGTCAAAACTATACCGATTACTAAAGACACACGTTTCCTCGAAGATGTAGGTGCATTTATTAAGGAAAAATTGACTTACTTAGACATATTGCCACGGCTACAAATACTTGTGGATGGGCCGAAATTCGGTGCCACGTGAGTATACCCAATAAAATTTAAAATTTTTTTTATAAAACAATTAAATGTTTAAAAATGTGTTGCGATTCTTTCGGCTATTCTAAATTATCATTTTTTCTTTATTCTGCACAGCTGCCTATATGCAGTCAAAGCACCTACTCGCACCATTGTGCTTACTGACTTGAAACCCGAAGGTTTTATGGTTGCCTCGCGACAAGAACAGCTCGATTGGGCACACTGTGAATTGATCTTGCAACAAACGGGACGCCTGCATGCCACTTCAATGGTTTTAGCCCAGAGAGTAAGTATATTGAAGAGCCGTAAATTAAAAAAAAAAATTGTTTATCTCACTCGACTACACACTCTACACAAGTTAAGATTATATTTCCTCGATAATTAATATTTTAAATCAAGTAATCTAATTTAGCAACAAGATTAAATAATTGGAAATAATTAGGGAAATATGTCAAATTTAATGCAAATAATTTTCAAACATTGTGACAAACTGTAACATAAACATCATTTTTAGGATACCGACATCACCAAGCGCATTGTCGACGGTATGCTGTGCAAGAAGTCTATATTAAATAGTGATGCTTTTAAAAATTTGGCTGGCAGTAGCTTAAAGCACCTGGCCAACAATGCAGCCGAATGGCCCGGTTTCGAAAAGATCGCACAGAAATTGCACCATTTCCACGATAATTTCAAGCCCATATGCGCACATTTAGCGGATCCGCGTGATGGCGATCGTATCGTTGTGATGAATCACGGTGATCTCTGGACAACAAATTTCATGTACGCCTATGATGATCCCAAGCAACCCGAGAAGCCAACGCGCGCTATTTTTGTAAGTTTCACTTAAGTCCGAAACCGTTTCTTCTCATTTCATTTACTCATTCATTCATGTTTTGTGAACTTTCAGGTCGATTTCCAACTTAATTTCTATGGCAGCCCTGGTTGCGATCTTAACTTCTTTCTCAACACAAGTGTACGTCTGAATTTGTTGAAGGAACGACGCGATGATCTCATAAATGTATATTATAAAACATTCAAGGAGACATTGGAATTCCTTCATTACGAGAATATACCAACTTTAGAAGATTTAAAGTACGAATTGCGCTCGCGTGAACTTTATGGACTTTTCGCTTTGTTCGGTTTTCTGCCCTTAGTTACTATGCCAAAGGAATTATCCGAAGATAACAGTATTGAAAATTTGGTAAATGAGGAGTTCGCCCGTCTAAAGTACAAAAAAGTGTTTGCACAAAAACGCTTACAAGCCCAGCTAAAGTATGGACTCAAGCGCTTGGAGGATATGGGTGTGTTGGACGAGTTTTAATATCAATTTAATTTTTAGTAAAACTTCATTCTGGGTACTGTAAGCATGTAAATATGTATGTATATATTAACATAGGATATAGAAAATTTAAGTGAAATCTTGAGTCATGATCCGAATAAAGAATTACTTATGCTATGTCTACAAGTAATTTCACCTAAAACATGTATTTTGTGTAAGCAAATAAAATAAATAAACAAAAATTTGTCTCTGTACAGTTAATACTTTGCAATAGTGAAATAGTTCTTAAAGGCCTTATCCTTGTACATATTTGGTAACATTTTCAGTTTTATTTTTTTGTGATATTTTCAAATAAGTTTAAATCAAAAATTTCTAGAAAACTTTTCGGAATGCTCAAGTAGTTTTGTAGTGTTTGAGTAGTTTATTTCTAATATCTTTGTGTCGGCCTTGCAAATCAACTTAAGTATGGTAAGTAATCAATAACAAGTCGCCACGAGCAAATATCTTTGAAGATTATTTGGTAAAATTCTTAGGATATCATTATCGGACGCCAAATTTAATTTTACACAATGGAAGCTTTTAGGGAAGCTAAGCAAAAATAATTTATTTGAATAATATTTTTCATACATTTTAATCATAGTCTTGCCAAATTTAAAATTTTCAAAATTTCCTCAATCTAAAAAATACTTAAGGAAATATAAAACTTTTGCAGATTCGGAAGCATTACCATTGTAAAATTTGTACTTATCGTGAAATGAACAATCGCCTAAATTCTTTGATAGTATGCAACGACCAAAACAATACCATTTTGACATCCGCCAGTCGCTTGCAATATGACATGGTTAACGAAGCAGATTCTACTATAAAAATAGAATCAAAGCAATTCACAATATACGTCTTGGGGGCTTAATACTCAAGCTGCCCTCGATGATGTATTAACTTTGATTAGAAATGTCAATCAGGGTGTGAGTATATGCACTCGAAGTCTGCATAATAAACGGATTGTATATACCCAAAGTCGACACGACTCATCAATTGAAACCAATTAAATCAACAAACAGATTGTGCTCAATCTTGCGGAAAGAACTAGATGTACAGATTTTATAAATCTACAATTACATAAGATTTTATATAAAAATGTAATCCAAACGTAGGAAAATTAATAGTTTCGATTGAAACGTGTTAGAGTGAGGTTGCTTTGGGAACACTGGTCAGAAATGGCGACTTTTGCGATCGGCGAAATACCCAACTACTTCAATATGGAGTTCTTCAAAAGAGCGCTAGAGAATGGTTTGCGTATGGGCGATCTTAAAATTTTGGGCATATCCATTGAGAATCTAACAATGGGTGGTGAAAATTATTGCAGTAACATATTTCGGGCCACTATTAAATATAAAACCAGCGAGGATCAGCAAACTGAACAGACAATAATAGTAAAAAATATGCCAAAACAAAAGCAAAGTGTACTTAGTCGTTTGAATATCTATCGTAAGGAGACCATCTTCTATTTGGATATCAAACCTAAAATGGAAGCGCTCATGTGGCACTTGGATAAACCATGGAACCTGGCAGCAAGGTTGTATTTATAATTTATAGGAAAAAGTGAAGTTAAATTGATATTCTTCCCTTACTTTCAGGCACTTTCACTCAACCACCGAACCGGAGCAGAATATTATGTTCGAGGATCTAAGTATGTTGGGCTTTATGTTAGAGAGCCGACAAGTGGGACTTGATTTGGCGCATGCGCAAATTGTTATGCAAAAGTTGGGTGAATACCATGCACTTACTATGTTGATGGCCGAGAGGGTAAATTTGATTTTCATTTGAAAATTTTCAAATCATTTTCCATATTTCAAACAAAAATATAAAAAGGACATTACACAAATATTTCTTTTTTAATGTTAAAATAATATTTGTATACCCGCTTTAGTCACCTGCAATTATTATCGATCATTTTGCCTTCGGACTTTTGAATATAGACTCAATCAAGAAGGAAGCATTTAAAGCTTTATTTGGTGCACAGCTTTTAAAGCTCGCTACACTTGTAGCCGAATACCCCACAATGGAGCCAATATCAAAAAAATTATTAAAATATTACGATCACTTCACGGAACGCGTGCTCGAGTCCGTCTATCCATTACGAGGTAATGTGAATGTACTAAATCATGGCGACTTGTGGGTAAATAATATGTTCTTCAAATACGAGAGTAACTCAACAAAATTTAAAGCTCCGACCGAAGTTAGATTTGTAAGTTTTACTTATCCTACCTTTAAAGTGATTTTGAAATTGGAAACGCTTCAAATTGCAGATCGATTTTCAGTTGTGTTATTATGGTAGCATTGGCTTCGATATAAATTATTTCTTGAATACCAGCATTCAGTTAGATGTATTGAAAAATCACCGTGGATCCTTGATTGAAACATATTATGACGGTTTAGTGCGGACCCTCAAAGCCTTGCCTTACAATAATCCAATACCTAAATTAACCGATATTTTGGAGGAAATTGCTCAGCGTGAAAGTTTCGGCTTCTTCGTTGCATTCGGATTCTTTCCACTAATGTCCATGTTCACAATGGATTCGCAGGATAATTCATTGGAGAAGTTCTATGATGAGGAATTTGCTCGTCGCAAAATCGAATTAATGTTTCAAAGTAATCCACGAACTATGGAGACATTGAAATATTCTCTACAACGTTTCGATGAATTGAAGGTCTTGGATTGACTCTTTGGTTGTTGGTTAATTCTCTTAGTTATTACATACGTACTTTTTATAATTAAAGACAGGCTTGATTTGCATTTTGTTGTACAATAACTTAATAATTCGAATAACATCTTTTCAAACCGATTTCAGATTTAGCAAACAATATTTGTTTTTGTATTTTCCTATTAAGGGTATTTTTAAAGAAATGATCGCATTCTCCAAAATCAATAACTCCAAAGTGGTAGAAAATTCATCTTCAAGGAAACGTGTGTCTTTAGTTAACGGGTACAGTTTTGACGATTAACGATCGTTGCTCTTGTACTGACGGCTCATTATCGTCAACTAGACGCTTATAGGCGACTGAGACGTGATAAACGCGTGAGCAGTAATTATCACCGGGATTAGTGTCCCATGCGAAGGTTACTATATTAACTGTTAGGTGGACATCAGGCAAACTTTCCTTGAGCGCGCCCACGAAGAAATCTTCTTTCAAATAATCGGGCACAAAAATATTATTCTGACTTTTAATAACCTTTTATATAAGTTCTTTATAATAAAATATTTTGTTTTCACACCGAAACGTTTTGTACAGTTCACTAAACTAAAATGTTCTTGGCCAAATGTTGGCCTTATATAGACTCGTAAATTCACAATTGAAATTCAGCGATAACATGGCATTTCTTGCTCCTTTCTTTTATAAAAAACTGAGATAAAGATATGCCCTTCTCTCCTGTTATTGGATTCAAGCGGTTTCTTAAGTAGCACGGGGTCAACGGCTATGACAGTTTCTTTTTTATAGACGAAAACATTTCAACTGTTGAAAAAAGTTTCTAATAAACCAAATGACAAAAACCTAACAAAAACAAACCAAAAACACAAAAAATGTTATTCCAATGGTTCAACGTAGTCACCATCCAGCTGCAGTGGTTTGGTCTGGAGTCCCACTTCTGTGCAAAATGGGTTAAAAGTAGGACAAAAGTGTACAAAGTGGATATTTAGAGGGCGTGGTAAATCATTTAAGCAATACTCTCTTTAATGAAGAGCATTATATCTTCCAGCAAGGTTCTGCTCCAGCATACAATCCAAAACTACGCACCTGTGGCTTAAAAACAATATTCCTGGTTTCATAGCTGCAGATGACTGATTGTTTGGAGGTACAGATTTGAATCCATTGAACTACATTTGTGGTCAGAGTTGGAGAATATGGCATGTCCAAAATTCCACAGAAATTTGGGGATTTTCAAATTCGTTTACCGTAATTCAGCATATTAAATCAGAAGCCAAGATTGAATTACTTTTAAGTTAAGTTAAGTTAAATTATGCCTCATTTTGACGTACAGGTATGAAATTTCGAAAAGTTTCTATATTAGCACTAAAACCGTAATAAGTGCATCAGCAAAATCTATAATAAACGAAATCTTATCTTGAAGTGCGAGAATTTAACAATATCATACAAAAAAATAAATATTTTGTTTTCGTATCTTTTGTTCGTAATACATGCACCTATAAGTGGTAAATACATGTAATTATAAAACACGCTCCTGCTCCCATGATTATTTTATAATATTTGCAAGGCAAGCGTCTGTATTTGCTTTTGATGAGTTAAGTGAATGTCATTATAAATTAAAACCATTGGGCAATATTTAATAAGCAATATACATATGCATATTAGGGTGAGTCGAAAATTAGTTTAAAAAAGCTATATACAGTAAAAAATCGACCTACAAGGAACAGGTTTTGGCTTCATTTTAAAAGCAGTTGGTTCAAAGTTTCAGTTATAAAGAACAGGCAAAAAATAAAACATGAACTCGAGATGTGTTTTTGGCTCACCCTAATGTATATACATACATATGTAAGTAAGAGCCTATACAACAAGTTTGCTTAAAATATTTATAAGTATGAGAGCTATTAAAAGTAGATAAAGTGGCATAACATCATCGAGACGCCGCTTAAATAACTCAGTAATTATCATCCTATATTAAATATGATAAGTAATTTTATACTCTCGCAACATGTTGTACTCATTGGGCGAAATTGAACTACAATCACGCCTGTTTCGCATACTCATACAATCAGTGCCAACAGTTTATTTGGTTTATTCTTCGAAATTATTCGATAATTTTTCTAGCTTCATACACAGTTCGGTCCACTTGATTAGAGGCAATAATTTTTGAAATAAAATTGTAACAAATGGTTTTCTGGTTATTCAAACTACTTTGTTTGAAAATATACACACTTCGAAATATAATATTATTTCACGTAATGCCAATGTTCTGCTTGATTTATTGGTTCTCTTGAATAGAGGCATTAAAAAAATGAAAGATAAATAAATAAATGCAGTTAATAATAAATACAGAAAGTTCATTGAAGATTAATATTTTATACTACCATTAGGCTATCTCGATAGTTTGTACAAATCATTCCTCTATGCAGTTTTGAAATAAACAACAACTACTGCTACTACTGAACAGGTGAGCCGAACTCCAGCTAACATGAGGATTTCTGCGATGCAGGTTAGCTGTATATCGAATATGTATGTGTATAATTTTATATTGATATGTAAGACATCCCGATGAAACCTATAGGACACTTTGTTCTGATCACAAATCGGATCAGAACTTCCTGCGCAAAATATCTTAACGCTTTTAAGCAGTTATGCTGCTTTTAATATTAGCTGTCTCCGAAACACCAAGCGTTACTCTCCAGCGAATCGAACAAACTATACCAGATGCTAAAACATACAGATAGCACTTGTGGTGCAATCCTGCGCTGACATGTCTTCTGACGTATGCACAATAGTTCTATGATTCTTTCTTAGTGGAGAAATTATATTTTTTGCGTTAAAAAAACGTTGCTGTAACCCTTTATTTTCGTTTTCTATTAATTACTATAATTGATAAATTTTAAAAATAATAATCATTTGTCATTTGAACCACAGTAGTAAAACTGATCTAAAATATGCAAAAAAAAAAAATTGGTAACATTAGAGATAGCGACTATACCACTTTAATGAGGTACATTGTGCATACATACTCTCTTGCACGAACTCAACTCGATAATTTTGTTGTTGGAATTTATTTAGCAAGTATTTTTTTTTTTGAGATTCAATGAGTTTTTTGGAATTCATCTTTAGTAGATCAAATGCCCACTTGGTTACTCTCAACCAATATTAGAAAGATAATAAAATAAATAATATATAATAATAATAATAAATAATATTAGATAACGATCTCACAATAATAATTTTAAAATAGAGTTAATCCTCTTGTCACTTTTTATATATAAACTGTAATAAAAAATTTTAAATTAATCTCAGAGTTACTTAAACAACTCAGTGTGAAGATTCGGTACTTGAGATAACTCACAAAGTTGACGGTTATGAGTAATGAGTTTCATTGATGTTACTAACATGAAATATTGCGTTCAATTCCGCTCTGACGTTAAATACCTTAATTACTTATATAACTACAATTCACTGATTGTTTTGTAATTTTCTAATAACTTAAATCATCAATGATCTTATTTCTTGTTTACAGTAAATAAATACCGACTTTGCCCTTTTCTATGCAATTATTTATTTGCGATACTGCAGTAGTTACAACTTGTCATGTTTGCTTTAACATACTCATTTGAAAAAGTTTCTTTCATAGTTTGGTGTGGACTTTCACAGTTATTATATATTATCGCAATCTATAATAACTTTTCACCTATAACTTTTGTAATGCAAAAAAAATAAACACGTGTCGTTGCGGATGTTACTATTATGAGCAGAATTTAATGAAAACATGTTATAAAATTCGAAAATTACACAAGATTTCACTCACTACGCTCTTTGCAGTATTCGAAAGATCGTTTAAGCCGCTATAAACTGTTTATAGAGACGGTACGGAAAACAAATGAGAAGTGGAAAGTATTTGTCTCCGTAATTAGCGATTCTGTTAAATTGCTTTAACACCCGTTATACATTACACGTGTTTTACGTTTTCACATATACTTGTAATAATAAAAACAAATAAAATGACTTGATTTTGATCGTTCAGTTGTTATATGTTATGATGGTCCGATATGAAAAATATATTTGGAGATTACAGCTTGGACAGTCGGAGAAAGGGACGTGTGCAAAATTTCAAATCGATCTCTTAAAACTCAGGAACTAGTGCGCGTATATACAGATGGACAAACGGACAGGGCTAAATCGACTCAGCTCGTCACTCTGATCGTTTATATATATATTTTATAGGGTCTTCTACGTTTCCTTCTGCTTGTTATAAACTTCGTGACAATTTTAATATACCGTATTCAGTGTATAATAATATAATTTATTCTGGTGTGATTTACAGCTTTATAAAAAACATATGTAAATAGAATGGTAATAAAATTAAACCGATTACCGCTGTGTGATATCAACACATGGCAATTTAGCCGGGCATAAATAATTTTACAATTTTTCACAATTAAATTAACGCAAATGTCTTTAATGCGTGTAATTAATTCCAAAGCCACAATTTATGATGGGAAAAAGCCACATATTATAAAATGACAGTAATTCACGTCATCTGCAGTGCCGCCCCAAAAAGTGGTTCGCTATTATGTTATCTCAACAACGGAATTTCTAACAACAAACGAACAGTGGCTTAAATAATCGACTATAACTACACTTACAAATAATACCAAAACTTAAAATGTAACTTAACTGTGTAACCTCAATCCTATTGTTTAAGAACTAAACTGAAATTTTAACCGAGTCGCGGTATTTATTAGCTGTGTGTCAAACTATAGTAATGTAGTACACGATAGTGTATTCGATAGTTTAACATCTCTACTAAGAGGATTTTAATTACAAGTTTACTTCAGTAAGTATCAACCTTCGTGTGAAATACTGATTAGTAAAGATGAAAAAAATACTTAGAACTTTTTCCTTTAAATTTTCAGTTTTCAATTCAGAATTGCAATTGTAAATTTGGAATACCCTAAGAATTTGAATTTTGTCACCTGAGTTTGGCGTGTTAGATGCTATTTTCTAAAACCTTGAGACCTAGGTTCGAGGTATGCTAGCCATATTTTGGATTTCGGTTACAAGTTTGCAGCTTTTGGTGTAGAAAATCGCGCGTTGCAACTTATTTATTAATTTTTAATTTACAATAAAATGTTCAGGCTTTATTTTTTAAAAACAATCGCTAATATATGCTTTTTAGATTATATGTTGGGCAGAATGTATTGCTGAACACTGTATACTCTTACATATTGCATACATATCTATTTATAGATATTGTCACCTAAAATGCAAAATAACATAACATCAAAAAATTCGAAATTGAATATTTTATTGTTTACGATTCACTACATACATACATTACAAATTACATATCATCACATAAAATGCAAAATAACGTAACATCACTTATCACAAGTTTACAGGAGAATCCTGCTATCAGATATAACCAAGTTATAACCAAAATTAAAAATTTGTTTCAATATGAGTAGCTTCTATTCTATCTCGTTTTTCCTTCTACTGTAAACTTCTGAAAGTATTGTTACCTTATTTTGAATTTTAGTTAACGATATATGTGTTTATGTATAAGTATTATTTTGTATTTTTGTGTAATTGTATGAAAATGCATGTGGCGTGTGGCCAAAAAATCACTAAAATTATGCAAATAATAATAAAATGTTTTGCTCATAGGGGAAAAGTACATAACGCAAAAGCAACAATAACAACAAAGCGCTTAGATGATTTTATACCGGTAAATACGAGTAAATACCAGAAACATTGAGTCGACTGCATCTTCTTAACTTCAGGTGGGTGGCTTTTACTTCCCCGCCTATTTGATGCAACCGTTAATTTGCTTCATATAAATTCAACATTACGTTGTCCGTTAGTTCAAACATATTGCATTGTTGACAGTGCCAAAAAAGGCTCCCCTGATAGCAGCTAAAATAGAAATTACAAAACTTTATATTCTCACTGAGAAAAAAACTTTAGCACGTGCTGAAGAACCGTTAGAAAAAGGCTCACTTTTTCGCATGACGTGCAACGCGTTTATTAGCTCTTTTTCAGCGGCAACATGCAATGTGCATATTTGATGACATCGTCAGTTGACAACCCTGACAGGAGTTTCCGAATAGTTAGTTTTGAAAAAAGTACACTGGAAAAAACACCGAATTTCAATATTTGTGTATATTTATTTTTCGCAAATATGGTATGGTCTTACATATGTATATAAATGCAAATATTTTATGTATTTTAGAAAAAATTTAATCAATAATAAACAGTTAGCCGTGTTGCTGGCGAGTGTCACAAGTCGCCGGGGTCCAATGTTTGCGTAATTTTATTACCAACGTGTCGTTAGGTTTTTCACACAATTTTATTAGCATTTTCAATTATGTGGTTTATATTTGGTTACTGTTGTTGTTACTGCTACTGCTGCTTTTTGCTTGTGCCGTATTAATTAACAGAGTTTATGAAAAATGCATAATACAGTAATTTTGTTTGTTTACCACTGACTGATCAGCGCTGAATATTTGAAGAGGCAAATAAAAATTTACACTGAGGGATAATTTGCGGTTGCCCTTAAAAATAACGATTATAAATAAATTGCTTAATTCAATATGCAAACATATACATACGTACGTTTGTATGAATTTGAAATATTAAAATTTTATTGCAATTTGCTTAGCATAAAATAATGGTTAATAGAAACAAATTCTGAACATTTTATTTTTCTGCTCTCACATATACCATACATCAAATTTTTAGTATTCTTCATGAGTGAGCGATGACATATGAGTCCTCTATTAAACGAATATGTATCGAAAAAGCAAAAGCTGGGTAGAAGCTACAAAATCTGTTTAGCAGACCACAAGGTCACCGTAATTAATTGGTTTCTTGCTATGCTAAAGATAGACTTCCTTCAGTCTGAAGCATTCACCAGGTGAAAAATAGGGATAACACTAAAAATTCGAATCAATGAGTGCTTTCAATGTATTTTATTTTTTATTCTAACATTTTATTATTTTAAATTATTAAACACTATTTCCTTTTTTTATCTCTCAAAGAAAATTCGTTTAAGTTGCTCAAAATGAATAATCGCTTCATATTCAATCGACTTTAGTCTGGCGAGCCCAATAATTTCATTTATTCCATTTAATATTGATAGAGTAAGAAGACTACATAAAATTAAGGTGCGTAAAAATTATAGCTTTCGATTATTTGATGATAATAAATATAATATATAATAATTACACTAGTTTACAGCAATTTTGCGACTGTGATGTTAGAGGTTGTTTCTTGCTAACTTTGGGTTGCTAGAACCGAAAACGATAGTTAAAATATCCTAACCCGTAAGATGTTGTTTATGTTTATGTTATGGTTAATGGGTGTAGGGGTTAAATTTAAAATTGACAAAAATAGCTGTACGTGAAAAAAAATATTTGAACTCAAATTCGTAATTAGAACACCTGAAATACCCCACAGACCTCTTAGCACATCAGTCGCTAATTGGTGGTCGAATCAAAATGGCCTGGTATCATTGTCATCAGCTTAATGTATAGCTGGTGCAAGAAATATTATAAGTTCAGCAATTATACTTTCTGTAGTTAGTTTAAAGAAATCATTACATCTGCGCTGTTATTTTGACTAGGTACACGCCAGTCAGACATTTAACGTCATTCTTCCGAAAAATACTATATAAATCTCTAAGTGGGACACTTACCTTCAATCGATCTAAGTACAAGCGCTCTATTTTATTCGCCCAAGTTATTTCGCTTGCTCAACATCTTTGCGTACCTACTATAATATTTGGCCCAGTTCGAGAAGCAAGCGTGTTGAAAAAAGTGCCAACTTTAAAACCCATTTATCTAAAGTTGTGTTGCATTCGTAAATTTTTCTGTTAAAGAGAAGAGTAAATTAGTTCACTTTGTAGGAAAAATAAGATCCCGAAAAACCCTCCCCGACTGGGGCGCTAGTGTGAAATGCGTGCATTTACGCTGCAGGGAATAGCGCAATTCGTCACGGCGTATCAGCGAGCGAACACCCAAACACGAGTGGGGCGTAAAGTTTAGTGCAAAGCAACAACTTAAATTTATGGCCAAGACATTAAACCCCATTGCAGTGTGAGGTGTTTGGGTGGGCGTGTCCTTGGGTGGCTGCGAGGCGGTTTGGACCGTGAGTGGATTGTGTGTAGGTGTGTGAGTATGTGAGTGAGCGTCAGTATTTTTATAAGTTGCACAGCAAGGGAACCGTAAAGCGAGCAGGGTAGCCAATGCTTTATTCTGGTTGTTGAGGTTATTGCACTCGAAACGTCAAACGCTTAGAAGGAGATTAAATGTAGCTCGCTTTGAAACTCGATAGTTGGGGACGGAAAAATTCGGGCAAATCTGGGCGGTTCGGAGCAATTGTCTTCGACGTTGTCTGTGAGTTAGTGTAGAGAGGGTGACTCAATATATACATATAATCTGTGTTACTTAAAAACAAAAGTTACTATTGTATTTGACCGAGTGACTGGCTGACTGAGTAAGGGATATTAACTATTTACACATATAGATATGTAGTTATGTATTTGTTTGTGAAAGGTGAAGGCAAAGGTAGGAATTTAGGTGTGATTAAAGTGGCTGATATATGCGTTGCTTCATGGAATTAAGGGGCAGTATGTACATATATAAATTCTAAATATAAACATAATTTCGAAATGAGATGAAAGGCTGAAATCCCAAGTTTATTTGCTATTCCTTCAGATCATAGATAAGTTTTATGAACAATCTATTTAAGGGCACTTATATTCAAAATTTTACACAAACTTCCATAATTTTTATACATATGTGAGTCCACTTACAGGTAGCACTCATTTAAAAGCAAGAACGCTAAACTTATAATTTTTTGTTTGTGTAGACCTTGATGTGGTGAAAAGCGTACTTATACGCACTCACGTGAGAGCATACTAGAAATTTGTCAGTGCGAGAGTTGATGCTCCAAAAGAAAACGGGCGCTTTGTACCTTTAACTGGGGCTCACCTTCAGAGGCTGCCAAAAATTGTAAGCGCATGTGAATAGGTTGCTTTCGCTATTACACTTAGGTGTGGACGAGTATATATATTTGAGAATAAATACGAATATGTTGTCGTTTGTTGTTGATTTTTGACTAGTCCTTTTGGCTTTTTTGCTCGGCGGTTAAAAAATATATGTTTGAATATATTATATAGTATGTGTGTCCGTTTAAAGCCACCACATTGGAGCTGAATATGTTTTAACACCTTTCTAGCTTTAAACGAAAAGGCTAAGTGCGTGAATGCCGCTAGATTGTATGAAAAACAGAAAGCATAGAGGTTAAATAAAAATTTAAAAACACCAAATTCTTACCACAAGTATATATAGCTACCCTGCAGGAAAGAGCGAACCTTGATATTTAATGCTCAAAAAAATAAAAGTTTGGACGTATCATCTACGATAATGGTATCGTAAAATTACGATTTTTTACTTGTTCGTACTATTTTGAGATTGTGGGAAACCCCTTGTAGAAAAATCGATACTTTTCATGAAACTCCATTATAAAGGGAGTGGCTTGCTATATAATATAGATTGAATACTATTGCTTAAAGTTCCAGACCGAAGTAATTACGAAGAATTGTGTTTTCTTAAAGGTTGTTTGTAGTTATATGTGCGTTTGTAGCCATATTAGTAATATTAGTACTGCAATTGTAGTTCGTTAAAGCATTACAAATAGCGAAGTTTTTCCAAATAAAAGAACAAGTTAAGCTGATTTAAAGATTTTAGAGCAAAATCGCTTACAAATAAAAATGTGCTTCAAAGTAACTTTTAGCCGCCCATTAATCCCTGTCAAGTTTGAAAATTCTTTGAATATGTTTGATTGACAGTGAAAACCGTGAGGGTAGTTTCCACCGTGAGGCTCCAAAAGCATTGTAGAACGTTGGGAATTGCTTTTTCTAAAAGCACATCACACATTTTTAAGTCTAATGACTGCGTGAGTGTATAAAACATATGCTTAGCTAGAAGTTCTTGAAAAATAAAATTTGCCCTTCGGGGACTTAAAG